TTCTCTGCCGCGCCCTCTAGGGACTCAAACGCCGTCTCCTCCGGAGAAAGGCCAGATCTCCGGCGGGGCCGGGTGTGTGTGTGTGCCTTGTCTAAATGGGATGGGGTGGGATCCGGTGTAGCGGGAAGAGAAGTAACCGCCTGCTAACCTCGAGCGGAAGAAATGAAGGGAGAGGGGATTCGGTTTCCCTGCCTGCCGCTAGCACGGGAGTCTTGGGAATCCGCCGCGCGCGGATCCGAGGTGGAAAGCCCACCCACTCTCCTTCAAGGAGGTTAATCCCGGCGGATTTGGGAAAGGGAAGAAGAGGGGGGATGGTCAAAGGGAACCTGTCGGCGGATGCCCTCCTGCCTCTCACAGCGCTGGCTGTCACTCCCCAAAGCTTGTTATCCTTACAAGGCATCCGTTTGTTTGGCTGATCTCAGCAAGGTTTTCTCCTCCAAGTAGAACTCTAATTGCTATAATTCGACTGTATCATTTGGATCATTGCACTATTGTTGTTTTCTCTCGCTCCCTCGCTTCCCCCGAGCCCTGCAATAAGGCGCTCCGGTGTTAAATTAGCAGGCTGGAGGGAGGGAAAGGGGGAGAAAAGAGACCATCAGTGAAGGGAAGTTTGATTTTATTTTAAAAAGAGCGAGAAAGCGCACGTGGAGGCAAGAAGATCGCCTGGCAGGAGATCCGGAGGCTTGGAAAGTACGGCTTCTTTTGTTGGAACAGATGGCAAAGGGGTGGAGGGCGCGGGAGAAGTCTAGGCGAAGAGGTGCTCCTGGAAGACCCGCCGGATCATCTCCTCCTGACAGAGAAAGAAGCCGGGGCAGGATCTGCCTGGTGATCTTTTATTGCCACATCTCAAGATCTTTGAAGCAGATATATTGGGATCGGCCTGATTCCGGAGTTCACCCACTATGACCTGAAGAGGGGTAGGGGAAGAGGCGCCACCTGAAAGGAAACCGGGTTGGAACCGTTCAGAACAAACAGAACTAATCCATGCACAGAGAGGTCGCCCTTTTACTAACTGCCTTTAAAGGGCTGGCTTCGATTCTTCCGCGGATCCAAACTTTAAGTACCGTCAGTCTGGTGCCAATAATTAATAAACAAACAACGTTTTCCTTTCTTCTGGAAAAATGGCTTTCTTTTCCTTGGTGGTGTTGCTATTGAAATCTCCCACACATGAAGAGAATCGCCTGCACCTTTAATACCATTCCTCTCTCTCGCTCTCTCGCTCTCTTTCTCTCTCTCTCTCTCTGTCTTTTCCCTCTTTCTGCACTCTTCCTCCCTGAAAAGCGAGTCCAGTGAATCTGGGTGGGCTCAGGTGCGGTGTGTTGTGGGCCAGGAGACCCATCGGGCGAGAAAAAAAAGGGAGGGAAAAGCAGCACTAGGAAAGCAAGGCAGCCGCCCTGTCTTTCAAGGGCGTCGTCTTCGTCTTCCTGCGAGGGGGCAGAAGAGGGCTCGGCTCGGACATCCCACAGCCCGAGGGGAAAAGGCGCGAACATAAGGCCAGCGCCCCTCCGTTGCGGTCGGCCGGAGGGCCCTGCCTGAGGAGAAAGCGGAGCCGCGAGGGGTCCTGCAGCCGGACCGTGTTAAGGAGAAGGGGTGGGGATCCCAACCACCGAGGCCGGAGAGCGCCACGGGCTGGGGCGCTGCGGGCCCTGAGGCAGCTGCTCTTCCCTGAGCGCGCTCCGAGGCTGAGGGGGAGAAACGAGCGGGGTTCCCGAAGCGGGCGCGCTCACAAAATAAAACACGCTTTCCCCCGTCTCTTCAGAGAGGAAGGGGACAGACGAGTGAAAACAGCGGAACGGCGGGAATTGGCCCCGGGGGGATGGAGTGTGAGGGGCTGGCGGGAGCTTTCCCTCGAAGAGACAGCGCCCGCCCTCCTTCGCCTGGCGCCTTTCCCCCGGAAGCTCCGGCCTCAGGCTCACCACCGACCGACCTGGCGGGGGCAAGGGGGGGTGGGGAATCGGACGAAAGCGAACCGAACACCCTACGAAAGAGACCGGAGCTGGCTCCGCGCAAATCAGGGTCAGCGCAGCCTCTCTATCCCGTTTACTTGAAGCCCAAGGGGTGGGGTGGGAGGGGAGAGCAAATTTGAGGCGGGGGAAAGGAAGGCAAGAGTTTATGGGGGGGGGAGCGCTTAGAACGGCGCGTTAGGCGACCTCGATCAGGTTGTGAAGCATCTCGGCCGATTTCTTGATCTGATCTCGAGGGGAGGGGAACTTCCCTCTTGGAACAAGGATCAGTTCCCTATATTGGTTGCTTTTCAAGAAGCTTTGACCCTTTTAACCCGACCCAGTTGCTATTTATTTATTTGTTCATACATTTTATTTTCTCCGTTTCCCCAGTCTCGCCTCTTACTGGACTGGAGAAGGGCAGGCAAGATTTACTATGCTTATGGCTGCTATTAGCAGGAGCTGCCGGAGATTTTAAGAAATCCCACCAACTCCGATCTGGAAGCAAGGGAGTCCGTCATTTTTATCCAAACATTTCTTTTGGTTTGGGCCAGTCTTCATTACCGATGGCCGTGTTGTAAAGCGAAAATAAGCAAAGAAAGAGCAGTTTTTATCTTTAAACCACTGCCCCCTCCATCACCCCATCTAAATGCAGGCTTACAATTTGGGTTTTCAAAAGCAAAATAAAGACTGTTGGCTTTTGCCTGGACATAACAAAGTGGTAGATAGATAGATAGATAGATAGATAGATAGATAGATAGATAGATAGATAGATAGATAGATAGATAGATAGATAGATAGATAGATAGATAGATAGATAGATAGATAGATAGATAGATAGAGTTTGAGGTGCACCCACCCACCCAAAGGGAAACGTCGGGGGAGGGTAGTGGAGGACGGAAATAATCGAGCCAGCAAGCCAGGCTGCAGATGGAGAAGGTGAGTTGGGCGGACCGAGAAGCCGTGAGAAGCGCCCGAGAGGCTTCCCCCGCGAAGAGCTCGCGCTGCGCTTCCCAGCCCCTTCCCTCCGTCTCCAGTTGCGTATGAACTGCTTCTGCCAAAGCAGCTCCGGAGCGTGGATGTACATTAGCATTTGAAAGAGTTATCCAGATGTTTATTACAGTAAAAAAATTGAGAGAGAGAGAGATCCCAATTATAAATCCTTATATTTTTAAATACCAACTGTAAGCGATTCAAGTAGGTGCCTTTGTAAATTTCTTTGACATGTTCAGTGAGAGAGGTTGAGTGGAAAGAAAACCAGGCCTGGAATCTCTTCCCCCATGTCCCATACCTGGATTTCAGCGATGATTTGCTCTCTTTCCGTCTCGTTCTCCCTGTGCTCGTCATGTTACGGTTGTAAGGCAGTGCCAAGCCTCGTCTCCTAAAAGCAAGAATTTACGACCTTTTGGCACCGATCCTGGCCCTGCGACTGCAAGGCACGTTTACCTACCAATTTAAATCCCAATTAATGTCAGTTGAGTTTATTTCTCAACCGGAATATTCGCGGGTCAGGTTTATCGAACCTGGGAGAACGGTCATTGAAATAATTAGGAATAGCTTTAAACTAAACCAACGCCCTCTTTTTAAAAAATGCAAGTTTAGGATGGCTGGGAGATTAGAAGACTTTAGAAGGCCATCTTCTCGCTTTGTAGGGACAGACAAGTCCTCCCCTCCGTCAGCCGATCGCCGGTGGAGGCTTTCAGGATGGCGATAATGGCCCGGCCCTTCCTTGCCAAAGAGCCTCCCTCAGCTTATTTTCCGCGGGGTGTCTTGAGGAGAAAGAGGTTGGAGAAAATAATTTCTCGTTGCGGGAAGGCGAACAGAGCCATTCCGCGATGCTTTTAGTTTTGGAACCAGTCCCAGCGAAGTAGAAGCCTCCAACGCGAAGAAGATTAACTTTTAGGGGGGAAACCGTTTCTGCTAGTCCCGTTTCTTCCCACCCCCCCCAAACCACTTATTTATTCCTGGCTTTTCTTTGCTTCTGGAGCTCAGGATTCCTCCGGATGTTTGAGACCGTACTTTGGCGATATATATATATAGAGAGAGAGATGAGCATATTAACGCTTCAGAAATCCTGAAAAATGGCTGATACAAATCTATGAACAGTTATTTCAGGTCATTTTCATTGGTTCTGTTTGAGTTCCATGTATGTACTCATTTCAATCGTTCGATTCTTAGGGGGCTGTCGGGGAGAGGCAATGCCGACCAGACAGCCCGACGTTATGCATTTTTTCCCTACCCATTCATGGGCGGGCGAACTTATAAATATATATAATATTATATATTCCCATCTGTTTTTATTTCATAGGTGTACAGTTACAAATATATGCACGTGTCGATATGTTTAAACATATCGATAAATATGTTTTTGTCCTATATTAAGACTGAAGTTCCAAAAGCACACTTACTACGGAGAGTCACTCCGTTAGTTGTACTTCTGCGTACACTGAATGGAGCCAGAAGCGAACAACCTTGAACTCTTTTCAACTGGTGAAAGCCAATTAAATGTTATAAATCCAAATAGCTCCCTTAGTTGCTTTACAAATCCTTGCAACTGACTTTCTTCTTTCTTTTAAGAAGAGAGAACAGAAGGTTTCTTGAATGTAACGACTACCAGAGCAGATTGGGACTAAGCCATATCGGTCTGTATAGAGAAAGATTCTGGTTGTAAGAAGTGCAGATTCGTTACAATCTGGATCACACGAGCTAATATCCTCCACAAGCTAATTAATTGCCTTTTCCCACCCGGAGGTATGAAACGGGAGGAATCATTCCACCCTTTCCAAAGGAAGGGGCGTCGAAGGAGTCGCCTTTCAGCGCAGGCCTCCCTGTCCCAGAGCGGGCGAAGCGACCTGGGGAGGAAAAGTTGAGTCAGGCCACTTGGTCATACCCTAACCCATTCCGCCCTCCCCCTCCTTGATCCGGGCCGGTTTTTCCCGTTGGCTGGGAGCCGGAGGCTGCCCAACCTCTGGTGAGAGCCAATCAGAGCGCGGCTCCCAGCACGTGGAGGAGAGGGAATCAAGAGCCAAGCTATTGCGGCTCGGGCACTACACTTGTTCCGAGGGTCCTGGGCAAGAAGAGGGGCGAGTGGCAGCCGCTGCCTGGTGGGGGGAGGGGGTGCCAGCCCAAAGCCAAGCCCGAACCCACAGGCGACCACCCCGAGCTCCGCCAGCCCTGGGCAGGAAGGAGGAGAGCCGGAGAGAACCAAAGCCATGAGCAACCAATACCAAGAGGAGAGCTGCTCCGAGAGGCCCGAATGCAAAAGTAAATCGCCAACTTTGCTCTCCTCCTACTGCATCGACAGCATCCTGGGCAGGAGGAGTCCGTGCAAAATGAGGCTCCTGGGAGCGGCGCCCAGCCTTCCTCCGCTGGCCAACAGGACGGAGCAGGAGAAGCCCGGCCAAGGTAAGCCCGGGAGGCGGAGGGGAAGCGCAGAAGAGAGAGGCGAGGCGAGGGGAGGCGAGGCAGGGAGCGGCCAAACGGGCCCGGCAACTTCCCTCCGGCCAGAGCGATGCGATGCGGAGAGACCCGAGGAGTTCCGCAGAGCCCTCGCCTTTGGAGCGGGCCTACAGAGAGAGTCGGGCTCGCCCGAGCTCCGAGGGCTCTGCTCGGAGCCCCGGTTGCTTTNCCCCCCCCCCCCCCCGCTTCACTCTTGGCCGGAGGTCGGGGACTTTCTGAGCCGGAAAGCCCCGCAAGCTGGGCGGTCGCTTCCACTGGCCGGCGGCTGTCCAGTGGCATCGGGCCGAAAAGAATTCCGCTCCCTGCTTGGCTCATGTCCGCGCGGCTGCCCCCTCGCCCAGACCGGCTGCGGTGGACGCCTTGCAGGAGGGAAAGGGGAGTCGTGGGGCGAAGGGTGGGGGAGAGCGCGGAATGAGGATCTCCTTTCTCTCTTTCTCTCTTTCTCTCTCTCTCCTCCTCCTCCTCCCTATTTTTGGGTGGGTGGCATTGTGATGACAAATGACGGCGGTTGTCAGGAGGTCCCCGCCGGTATTTTCCATCGAGCTTGGCAACGCCTTCCGCTGCCAGGCCTGGACTGAAGGGCGAAGAGATCTGGTGTCGGTCAGTGGGGCGGCAGGTCGCAGGGAAGCGGGACGCCGTGAGTGGTTTGTTTCCGTGAGCGAGGGGACGCACGATGAACACCCTCTGCTTCCGAGGCGCTCTTTCTCTCGGGCCTGGAGCTCCGTGCTCGCCCTGAAAGTCATGGCTCTCTCGGAGCCGGCCACGGGATTTAGGAACCCTTTGGACATAATTGACTGGTGTCAGGTACCTTCAAGGGGGGGGGTTGCCCTGGGGGGTGGATCTAGTCCAAGGCAGATGCACTTTTAAAACATTCGAACCCAACGTGACATAAGGAAACGGTTCTTAACCGCAGATCTTTAATCCTGCTTTCTCCAAAGAAACGGTCTCGTTTACAGCCATATCTGTAAGCTCTATGTAGGTTGTAACCACAGAGATGCATGTTCAAGGCAACATTTGTCTGCAGCCCTGAAACTGGGATTACCGCTCTGAAATCTAGTTTAGGATGAAGGTGGGGTTTCTACCTTACAGAAATAAAAGAAAGGTTTGAGTCGATCACATGCGGATTCGCTTGGCGGCCTCTGGGCTCCAGGTGATCGAGGGAGGCCTAAAGAGAGGCCACCTCTTTGGGGAAGTCAAAGCTCCATGGGTCCGGCTAAAAAGTTGAGGGCGCCTGGGCTGGAGGCCTCTGCGCCGCTTATGAGGCGGGGCAGAAGCAGCTTTTTCCTGAAGGCTGGAGCCGGCCTGGCTTTTCCTTGCCTGGAGGGTTAGACGTGGCTTGGAAGTTTCTCCTGTCTGGGGCAAGGGGGCCTTCCCGAGGGATGGCGGGGAAGAATGTCCGTCCGGTCTCGTGAAGTGACCAGTGCTTCTCTCTCTCCCTCTCTCCCTGTCTCTCTCTCTCTCTCTCTCTCTCTCTCTCTCTCTCTTTCTTTCTGTCCGCCGGGCAGGACCGGCCAAAGGGAGCCCGCCGGGCTTTGAGGCGCCCGAGCTGCACCTGCCACCCAAGCTGCGCCGACTCTACGGGCCTGGCGGAGGCCGGCTCCTAGCTCGGGCCGAGGCCGGAGGCGCCTCCTCGTGGGATTCGCTAAAGATCAGCCAGGCCCCGCAGGTCAGCATCAGCCGCAGCAAGTCGTACCGGGAAAACGCGCCCTTCGCCGCCCGGGCTGCGGCCGCCCTCGACGACCTGAGCGGGGGCGTTGGAGGTGGCAGCGGCGGCCCCGAGGGCAGGTCCGCCCGGGAAGAGGAGCTGATGGACGAGGAGGACGACGACGAAGACGACGACGACGAAGACGAGGAGGAGGCCGAAGAACTCGACGAGGAGCTGGACGAGGAGGATGAGCTGCTGGCGGAGTCCAAGGAGGCCCGTCGGGGCGCTGGAGGTCCCGTCGGTGGCGTGGGGCCCTCCGGCGTGGGGCCGGGGCCGTCGGCGCCAGGGAGCGAAGGAGCCGGGGGCTCGCCCAAGGAGGAGCTGCTCTTGCCCGCCGACGAGCTGGCCGAGGGCAAGGACGGCGAGGACAGCGTCTGCCTTTCCGCCGGCAGCGATTCGGAGGAGGGGCTACTCAAGAGGAAGCAGCGCCGCTACCGCACCACCTTCACCAGCTATCAGCTGGAGGAGCTGGAGAGGGCCTTCCAGAAGACGCACTACCCGGACGTCTTCACCAGGTAGGACCGGACGGGGCGGCCGGACGCGCGCCTGCACGGCTCGGGTTGGTCTGGTCTGGTTGGTGGTTTGGGGGAACCAGCCCCATCCATCCATCACAGGCAAAAGCACGCCGTGCTTGTCCTAAGGAGGGCTCCCTTTTTTTTTTCTTGCCTCCTTCGTTGCTGCAGGGTGGATGGGGTAAGGGAGGATATACGAAATACTGTACTTGTTTCGAGGGATGGAGGAGGAAGGGAGAAAACCTACGAAATAGAGAAGGAAATGCGAGAGGGACATCCGTGGAGGGAGGAAACTCTCTAAAATACCTTGGGACGGTAAAAGAAAAATAAGGCACGGAAGATTAGAATGATGGATGGGCTTAGGTGATCGTGCATTAATTTGCACGTTGAATTGCCCATAATTCCAGCAAGAAAAATACTTCGGCAAGTTGAGCAGAAGGAACGAAACCTGTGGGAAGAGATGGAGTGTCCGGGAGATTCCTATGCTAAAAGGAGCAGTGCCCCCAAGCCCCCCCACACACACACCCGCCTTACCCCTTTTTCCTTGCAGTGGCTGGAGAGGCGCTTGCTAGCAGGCACACACAAGCCTTTCTCCTTGTTTGAGGCTCCTTCGCCTCAAAAGCTTTCCTGGCCTTTCCCAGACAACGGTGCCGAGCAGGATTCTGGACTGGGCTGGGCTTCAGCCCTGTCGCTCGCCGGCCAAGGACAGGTGAGGCTGCGTTTGGGCCAAGTCCTTGCCCAAACCTCCCCGGGGTCTATTTTTGCCCTGATCCTCGGGCTAGTCTGTCAGATATCAATTTTCGCGGCGGTCCGTGGAAGCTGGAGCCCTGCCCTGTCCTGCCGCTGGGAAGCCACAGATGTAGATGTATAGATAGCCATTGGGAAAGATCAAAGTGTTCCGCCCGAGCAGGCTAAAAATACGGAGCGCGATGGCAGCGTGGCTGGAAGGCTTTGGCAGAAGCTCCGGGGCTGGCCCGCCGCCTCTCCGCTGGCGCTGGGCATTTCTGGACCCCGTCCAGGAAAGCAAAACAAATTCGGGAGGCGGGAAAGAAGAAAGCCGGTCCGATCCAGCTGCCTTGCTCGGAGATGCGTTTGCCGGGAGGTGGGGACAAGCCGCTCCCTTGGAAAAGGGAACTGCGTTGGACATCGCACCTGCCAGGCTGCCTCCGCAGCGCTCACTCGCCATTCTCTCTCACACACGCGCGCACACCGACTAGATCCGAACCGAAGGGGATTCGGATACATTTGTTCTTGCGAGAGGGAAATTTCCTCGCCTCCTTCTGACTTAAGACCTGCATTGAAAAGCGAGTTTAATTCAATTTAAAATACTGGCAGTCGTAATTCATTTTATCTGGGGCTTGTGAGTAGCTCATGTTTGTATTAGCCGGGGCACGAATCTTTCTGCGGATTTACGGCGGACGCAACCTTTCCGCACGCTTCCTATGGCCAAAGAATCCGGAGGGAGGGGAAGGGAAAGAAGAGGTCTAAAACTCGGTTTCTCAGGGCCTCCCGTTCGCTACAGCGAGGGAAAAAGAAATCTCCAAAGCGGAATGCTCCTTTTAAAAAAAAATTCGCGGTTTCTTCTGATCTTGGCAACCGTGGCATGTGGATAGCAATATGTGCTACATATGGGTAGCAAATGTTCCCGCTTTTTGCCAAGGGGAGAGAGATTATTTGGGCTTGGAATGTAGGGAATTCTTTCGTTCCTTGGCATTTTCCGTCCGCCCGGAAGGAAACGGTTTCAGGAAAAGGCGCCCTTTAAATTCGCTCGGCCGCCGGGCTCTCACTTGCGAGGAAAGCGGAGCTGCCTTTCTGCCCGACTCCGCCCGGCCCCGACTCTTTCCGGCTGCAGATTTTGGAGAGCAAACCGATTGTCACGTTTCACTCTTTGAAACGGGTGAGGAGACGGTCTCCTGACACCCACATCCAGCGAGCCCTTTCCCGGGAAGTCCCGTCGGTTTTGGGCGTCCCGGGCAGGCTGGGTTTGGGCTGCAGGAGCCCCGCAGGGCCTCTCGTTTCCCGGCGCGCCCGTCGGGCCTTGGCCGGCTGGCGGGTCCTTTGGCAGCCCCGGAAGGACGGACCCGGGCCAGGCCCTCGCCGCCGCCTCTTCAGCCTCCCTTCCCCTTTGGCTAGCGCGACGCTTTCCTTCCTAGCCGAGGGAGAGCCAATTATCCCGGGCGCGCTCTCCGATTCGAGGTAAACAGATTATGAGCCGTTTTCTAACATCCCTCGCGGCTTCCGATTTGCCTTAATTGTTCCGATAATGACCGCAATGAAGGGCTCGCGTTGCAGCTCAGTGGGTCTCCCCTGCGCCGCGGCAGAGGCGAGGCGAGGCGTGTGTATAGGGGGGCGGGAGCCCTTCTCTGGCACGCCGGCCTGGAGGGCCTCCGCCAGCCGGTCGAGGGACCCGGGCGAAAGGGGGCGGGAGGGGGAGAGGTGCGACCCGCCGCGATCCTCTCCTCCACTCGTCACCTTCGCCCTTTGCTAAATTTTCTCTCTCTTTTTCTTTTCTTTTTAAAGTTTCTCGGGAAAGACAGTAAGCGGGGAAAGCAGACCCGGAAAGGGGCTTGTAGGTTTCTGGGAGCCCGCAGGCTCAGGATGTGTGGGGGCTGCCACTAAGGGTTCCCTGAGGTGATTTCAAGAGGTGGGGAGTGTTAGGAGAAATTCCGAAGGGTTGGGCGCTCCGACGTCAGTGCCAGCCCAAGTCCGGGTGAAGGGCAGGATGCCGGCCTTGTTTGGCATTTTCCCGCGTGGAGGGTAGGAGGTTCTTTCCCTTCCTGGCAGAAGAGGTGAAGATCTAGGCCTCCAAGGTGGGGATTCCTCTACCTGTCCCACTGGGGACGCCCTTCCCTGCCTCCCCTCCCATCCCCACCCGCGCCCTGCTCTTGCCTCGAAGTGCCGCTTTTCCAGGCTTCCTCATCTGAGCCTCTGTCTTGTTGTGCTTGTGTCTCTCCCAGGGAGGAGCTGGCGATGCGCCTGGATTTGACCGAAGCTAGAGTGCAGGTGAGTCCCGGGGCAGCCGGGGTGGGAAACCGAGGGGAGGGGTCCTGATCGCTGCGAGCCGAGGTGCCTTTTTGAGGCAGGGAGGGAGGGAGGGAAGGAGGAAGAGGAGCTGGAGGGCGATCGGGAGAGCTGCTTTAGGACCTTGGAGCCGAGCGCGGGGGCTGGCTCCCAAGCGCGGATTGGGGCCAGAGGCCGCGGGGAAACCGCCACATCCTTCAGACATCAGATTTCCTTCGGGAAAGGACACACACACCCCGAAGAAAAAGGTGTTTCGTTTTCTTTCCCCTCTCCCGCCCCTGCTCCTTCCAAGTCGGACGCCACCCAAAAAGGCTAAGCTGGCCTCCGCCGTCGAAGGGCCTTTTGGCAAGTGGGGAACGTTTAGAGACGTGGGGCAGGGCGCTGCTCTTTTTCTCCCGGGAGGGGGGGCAGCCCGTGTTTCATTTGAATCCCCTTCTCTCCTCTCCATCCGTTCCCACCCCCCAAAGGATTGTTTGGGGATCTAAGGAGGCCGCTTAGTCTATGGGTTGGAAGCTCCGGAGCGCGGGGAGAGGTAGTCCGGCTCCACCGCCGCCGCCGCCGCCCTGGCCTCCAGCCCCGACAGATGGCCTCGGCCTTTTGGCTGGGAGCAAATCACTTTACACTGAAAGCCAGGCGCGGCGAAAGCATCATAAATTCCATATGGCTCATTTAATACACAACAGCTTCTCGCATTAGAGGGGCTAATGAAGAGCCCCCGTCCCCTCCTTTCTGTTGACACATTTCTCCATTGTCAAACAGAGATGTGACAGCAAATCAGGATTTTCAGCTCAGGGGAATGAGTCGTGGGAAAGTTAAATAACTAAAAACAGAGCGAGCGACAGAGATTTTCGCTCTGCCACCCCTCCCCGAATATACCCCCCTTTTCTCCTCTCTCTTCCTCGCCCCCCCCTCCTTATTCACTGGAGAAGACGGTGTAATTAGGGGGATATGAGTTATTAGAGCCCCTCGATGTACCTTTGGGTGTACTCAAACTTATTAATTCAATAAGAGATTTGCAGCGGGGCCAAGTTGCTGATTGAGTTGGAGACGCGAGAGAGAACGAGAGAGAGAGAGAGAGAGAGAGAGGCGCACCCCGAGGCAGCCCGGGAGAGTTTCTCTCCCGCTTGAATCCCCACCATCAGGCCCGCCTGCGCTGGGAAGCCCTGGGGTACCTGGAAGGTGGACCGGAGCAAATCCGAATAAGTGCCCTTCTTCCTTATTCCCGGGATGCTTCCTTATCTCTCTGCCCCATTCCCTTTGCAAATCAGCGTATCCGGCGGAGGTGACATTCGTTTTAATTTAGAAACCGATCCATTCCCCTCCCCCCCAACCTCCAGTTTTATTTTCAACGAAATGGTTGCTGGGCTGAAGGATAGATGGGGCGGGGGAGTCTTTCCATCGGACCATTTCAAAACTGGAGAAACAATTGTTAAAGGCTGGTAGGAACGGATAAATCGATAATCACCACCCCTCCCTCGTTCGGTTAAGGGAAAACAATTTGGAAGGGACGGGGCCCTTTATTGCTTTTCGTCGCGATCTCTCTCTCTCACACACACACACCCCCAAAAAGAAAGGCAAGACCGATTTGGCAGTCGAGCGCCGTCTGCGAGCTCTTTGCCGCGGCGTGTAGGTGGCTGCGGAGATGGCGTGATCACCACAATAATCATAATAAAAAAATAATTTCCATCGGCTGGGAAATTAGCGTTAGAGTCTTTTAAGTGCCGCTAAGAAGGCTTGGCTTTAAAATCATGGTTAAAAGAAAACATGATGTTTAGAGGGTGTGTTGGCGAAAACATTCAACTGTCTGTCAAACCCCTTAGAACTGAGAAAAGGAGAGAGCGAGAGAGAAAGGAGGGAGGGAAGAAGCGGGTGGGGGGGTCGGTAGAGGGAGAGGGAGAAAGGACTCGCTGAAGAATCCGAAGTCTGGGAAGGGTTTGAAGGAAACAGTAAGACAGGGTCTTGAAAGGTTGGTGCTTTCCTGAGAGAGGGCCTCGTGGGCTGGGTTTCTAACCTTCGGCCCATCGAAAGCCTGGCCCAAAGTGGTCCCTTCTACCAGGAATAAATAGATAATGCATCAAAGGTACTTGGATGGTCCCAGCGGTCAAGTCTATTTAAGATAAGCGAAATACGCACGATTCCCTAAGCATGGGGCGTTGGTTTTGCCTTATCCATTTCCATGACATCCTTTTTAAAAAGGTCCTGGGAGCTGAATGTGGAAAGAAAGAGAGGCAGGTCTCTGCCAGCCTGGAGCTTAACGTCTAGTTTCCAGGGGTGATGGAGACGGAGAGACAGAGGAGGGATAAGGGGGTTATAGCAGGTCATTCTGGCCGGAAGGGTTGAGGCTTGAGGTTTGCTCCAAAAGAGGGAAGCTTCCGGATATGGTCACCCTAGTCCTGCAGAACCCCTTCTCTAGGAGAGGACAAGGGGCTGGTTTGACAGGGACCCCCCTCCACCTGAGTGGGCCCAAAAGAGGACCTTCAGTGCCCAGTTCTGTGGTTGCGAGGAAGTGTGTGGCTCCTCCGGAGTCACAGAGGGTGTAAGGACTTGGGAAGAGCGGGACCATTTTGTTTTAAATTAAAATATGCTCACTGGCCTTGGTATCCTATGGCGGCAGGGGTGTGTGTGTGTGTCTTTCAAAGTCGAGAGGCTTTATCTAGGACATTTCTGAATGGCCACTTCTTCCTATCAAAGGCAGAAATTTCGATTCCCCCCCCCGCCCTGCCTTCCTTGGTCGCAAAGGTCTGGGGCGCTTCCTTCCTTCGGGGGGGGGTTGTCCACAAATGGTCAAGGTTTGTCCAGCTTCTTGGGGGGCAGGCTTCCGGGACCTTGATTCCAGCCCCCAGCCTTGGAACCGAGCAGGGAGCCCGGGGAGGCGGCCCCTGGCACGGCCTTTCTGGGAAAGGCTCGGCGGGCTTCCGAGGGGCAGGAAGGGCCTTCCTTACTAACCGCCTTGCCCCCCCACCCCACCCCACCCTTGTTTTCTTTTGGCTTCCAGGTCTGGTTCCAGAACCGGAGAGCCAAATGGCGGAAGAGGGAAAAGGCCGGCGCGCAGAGCCACCCGCCCGGCCTGCCTTTCCCGGGGCCCCTGTCGGCGTCTCACCCGCTCAGTCCCTACCTTGATGCTAGTCCTTTCCCTCCTCACCACCCAGCTCTCGACTCCGCCTGGACGGCCGCCGCCGCCGCCGCAGCTGCCGCCGCCGCCTTCCCTAGCCTGCCGCCTCCTCCTCCGGGCTCGGCAGCGTTGCCCCCCAGCGGGACCCCGCTAGGCCTCAGCACTTTCCTGGGAGCTGCTGTGTTCCGGCACCCGGCCTTCATCAGCCCCGCTTTCGGCAGGTAATAGCCCCCTTCCCTTCCCTTCCTAACCCGGCCCGGCCGTCACCGAATAGCCAACACAGGCCCGCCCGCCAGAGGCGGCTTCCTTCGGAATACGCGGGGGGGTCAGGATCAAGCTCAAAGTCAGTCTGAGGCTGTCCCCGGGGGGGGGGGGGAGGCCAAACCCAAACTCCCTTTCCTCTACGGTTCGGAGACTCTGGCCTGAGGCTGCAACAAGGCAGAACTCGCGTGGGAAATAGATGCTCAGGGTTGTCCTAGTCGGTAGTGAAGGGAAGCCCCCTTGAGCAACCGTAAGACGTGAAAACAACGTGGAAAGGCGGGCGGAATCCCTTGCCTTTCCTTGAGATCTGATGTGGACAGAGGTGAGGCCTAAAACGGCCCTTTAAAAAAAACAACAACACCACGACCCGTGTTTATTCTGAAGGAAGCGCTTCTGGGTTCTATGGCTGCGACGCCCACCGTGGCAGGCTTAGCGAAGGAAAGAACCCTCCCTCCACTCCCCAACAGCCGGATGAAAATTTCTATTTGTGAACAACGATACTGTATCTCAGTGGCTTTGCAGCCTGGGCTGTGACGATCAATAGTTTCCCAGTGGTATTGGATGTCCTTAGAATGCAATAATTGAACATCGTGGGACTTGCGGGAGGAAAACTTACATAGGAAAATCACATGTTCCCTTTCCTCCATTCTGATTGGCAGGGGTAGCTATTTAAAAATCCAATCGGGGACAATTGCATTTAGACACCACGGTTTTGGAGCTGGTGGACTGAAAGCGGTTGGAATAATGGAATTAATGTACAAGTGCTCCTGGAGTAGGGTTTCTGTACAGTCTATTTGGGAGCTACAGAACAGTTTATTGTGGGTCACTGGTAAAGTTTTTGTTTTGTTTTGTTTTGTTTAGTCACTAAGTCCAGGCCCTCCTGTTTTCCACTGCCACCCGGAGTTGGGTCAAATTCATGTTGGTCGCTTTGATGACACTGTCCAACCATCTCATCCTCTATCGTCCCCTTCTCCTCCTGCCTTCACACTTTCCCAGCATCAGGGTCTTTTCCAGGGAGTCTTCTCTTCTCATGAGATGGCCAAAGTATTGGAGCCTCAGCTTCAGGATCTGTCCTTCCAGTGAGCACTCAGGGTTGATTTCCTTCAAAATGGATAGGTTTGTTCTCCTTGCAGTCCAGGGGGACTCTCAAGAGTCTCCTCCAGCACCACAATTCAAAAGCATCAATTCTTCCACGGGCAGCCTTCTTTATGGTCCAGCTCTCACTTCCATACATCCCTACTGGAAAAGCCATAGCTTTGACTATGCAGGCTTTTGTAGGCATGATGATGTCTCTGCTTTTTAAGATGTTGTCTAGGTTTGTCATCACTTTTAATTTTGTGGCTGCTGTCACCATCTGCAGTGATCATGGAGCCCAAGAAAGTAAAATCTGTCACTGCCTCCATACCTTCCCCTTCTATTTGCCAGGAGGTGATGGGACCAGTGGCCATGATCTTAGTTTTTGTTTTTGCTTTTTTTTATGTTGAGCTTCAGACCATTATTTGCGCTCTCCTCTTTCACCCTCATTAAGAGGTTCTTTAAGTCCTCCTCACTTTATTCCATCAGGGTGGTATCATCTGGACATTTGAGGTTGTTGATATTTCTTCCAGCAATCTTAATTCCGGTTTGGGATTCCTCCAATCCTGCCTTTCGCATGATGTATTCTGCATATAAGTTAAATAAGCAGGGAGACAATATACAGCCTAGTTGTACTCCTTTCCCAATATTGAAGCAATTAGTTGTTCCATATCCAGTTCTAACTGTTGATTCCTGTCTCACCTATAGATTTCTCAGGAGATAGATAAGGTGATCAGGCACTCCCATTTCTTTAAGAACTTGCCATAGTTTGTTGTGGTCCACACAGTCAAAGGCTTTTGCGTAGTCACTGAAGCAGAAGCAAATGTTTTTCTGGAACTCTCTGGTTTTCTCCATAATCCAGCACATGTTAGCAATTTGGTCTCTAGTTCCTCTGTCCCTTCGAAATCCAGCTTGTACTTCTGGGAGTTTTCGGTCCACATACTGCTGAAGCCTAACCTGTAGGATTTTGAGCATAACCTTGCTAGCTTGTGAAATGAGTGCAATTGTATGGTAATGGAGCATTCCTTGGCACTGCACTTCTTTGGGGTTGGGATGTAGACTGATCTTTTCCAATCTTCTGGCCACTGCTGAGTTTTCCATACTTGCTGGCATATTGAATGTAGAACCTTAACAGCAACATCGTTTAGGATTTTAAATAGTTCAACTGGAAAAAAAACCCAACCCACCAATTTGATTTTGAAAGTTTTTAGATTTGTGTAAAATATAGTTGCATCGTAAAACGGCAGTTTTCTTGGAATTATTTGTGTTTCGGTTTCCTAGTCGTATTCCTTGGCTGTCAAATGCTATAAAAATTAATCAAAAACGTTTAGAAAGAGTGAAAGAGGAGGCTGTTTATTTGTTTAATGCTAAACAAATAAAAGTATAAAATCCCTGACATTTCAAGGGAAAAGGAGAGGGAGAGAGAAAGGGGTGGATGGAGATGTCCGGATCTGCTAAGGTGTGTCACTTACCAAGAACGGGGAATCAAATTGGTGGGATGGTTTTTTAAAAGTTACGGTATACCTGCCTTTCTTTAACGGAAAACAAGACAGTGACATTTTAAAAGGCAGCAGTTAATTAAAGAGACAAAGAAACATTGTCAGGGCTTATTAAAGTCAAGGAGACGGAAAAGATGGCAAAGGAAATACAAGGAGGAGAACAAAGAAAGAGTCGATTCCTCGGAGACGCTATTTAACAAAATTATCTCGAGGAGGAGGCGGGAAATCCACGTAAAATTAAGACTGGAGAGAAGTACCGCCCACTGGAAACGAACCCGCTTGTGCCTCTTCCCCAAGAACTAGAGGGCAGTGCAGGGACTGGGGCGCCCCCTACCGGCAGCGCTGGGGTCGGGCTGTTCTCGTTTATTCTATTAGAGGAGCACCTCGCGTCATTTCCCCCTCCCAGCCGCGCGACACCAAATTGAAAAATTGAGTTGTAAAAAGCTCGCTCAACAGCCCGGCTTGTGGGTGATGCGATTGACAGAGAAAGTGTGACAGGAGAAATCCAACGAGGGAGCGAGAGAGAGAGAGAGAGAAAGAAAGAAAGAAAAAAATGGAGGGAGCAGGAGAAGGGATGCTGGTGGGTGGGAGACGCCTCGTCCGGGCGATTCCTTTCCCCGCTGAGAAATGATATTAAAATAAACCACAGCCTTTCAGGAACGCTTTCCAGGGGCCGCTGGGGCTTCTCACGACCGCTCTGAGCACGGGAACCGCCTTGCCAGGGCTGGAATTGTTTGGGCAGATGAGCGATCCTGTCTTCCGAGGGCAACTGTCCCCGCTTCAGAGGCATCAAGGGCCGCTCGTCCTGTTTAAGGACCGGACTGACTTCGAGAGGCCACGGGGTGGGGCGGGGTGACGGGTGTACAGCTGAGAAGCCCGCGGGAAGCCCCTCGGCCCGGGCCGGCCGCGCCGCCGGTGCCTGCTTCAGCCGCTCCCCCGCGCCTGGTGGGGCTCCGGGCTTAGTCTGCCGCCCCCGTTGCCAGGCAGGCCCATAGTTCAGTTCCTCGCCGTGATGATGTCCATAATCACCTCCTTGGTTAATGGAGAGTCTGTCGAGCTCGCCGTGGCAGTCAAGGGGGTCACTTGCGCTCTTCAGCGCGGCGGTTCCGCGGAGGGAGAGAGAGAGAGGCGAGGAAGGCGAGCGGGAGCGGAGGAGGAGGAGGAGGACGAGAGGCGGCATTTCCGAGATTGTGTCATTGAGCGAGGGTTGCCGGCGCGTAATTGGCCTTCCGCTGCGAGCCGAGCCGCGGCGACGGCGCTCCCTGCTGGGAGCCCGGGCGTGCGAGGAGCCGAGCGGCGGGCGACGCTTT